CTCTCTCTCTCTCTCTCTCTCTCTCTCTCTCTCTCTCTCTCTCTCTCCTGAATTCGGAATTCAGAATTCGTTATCGTTTTTCGTGTATACCCGCTAAGCCATTTCCACATCGTTCCCTATCAACCGAGCAATGCACTCATCCGGGATCCATTAAAATTAAGATAATATTGTTTCAGTTAAAATTGTTAATTGTTTCCACGTTTAACTTCTGAGAATTTATACAATGACCTAAATAGAAATGAATTTGGCTGTATTTATCTGTGATTGTGAGCGCATAATACATTATGGGAGTCGAGTCGAGTTGTGAAAACAGCACACAGCGGAGCGAACCGAAACACTGGATAGAGGGAGTTGAAGTGGGAGAGGTAGAGACCAAAGCGAGCAGCCCACAAAGAAAGTATTTGCTGCTAACGATTTTGATTGTAAAATGAATTCGCTTTTCACCATTTTTGGGCACCCTCGTATCGAGTTCTTCTTTTTTTTCGGCTAGCTTCACTTTTGCCATTTGATTACATCTTGGTAACTGTATTCACATTTACGTTGAATAATCATTGAAAACAACAATTAAACACACACACACACACACACACAACGAGCAAAAATATACCGTTTAAGATGTCCGAAAAATTGAAAAGGAAAATGCTAAGACACACTTTGTGTTTCACCATGGTGATTTCAACAGCAGACGACTGATAATGTTTACATTGTGTCAACTTACCTTTTTGTTTCTCTTCGCTCTCTCTTTCTCTCTGTTTCGCTTTCGGTCTGTCCGTTTGTCTCTATTCCTCTCGAATTAAGTCGAACGGATATTTGAATGTTCCCACGATTCGGCTATTATCTGACTTCGTTTCAAGCTTATTTCCGTAGCAGAGAAAAATGAATATTTACTCTTTTATTCGCTGCAAATAGTTGTGTCAGGCTAATTTCTGCAAAAGATCTGCAATGAAAATGCAAATGATAAAAAAATATTAGTCTTTCCGTCAGTCAGAATGTACGCCAATTTTCTTATCGCCATTTCCTTTCAACTGTACACTACATTATATAATTTTCCTGATTTTGTGCCATTTTGCAAATATTTCTGTTATGTATATATATCGCACAATATATGTGCCATTCGAGTCGATGAAAGGGGAAATGTTCCGCAGAAAATAGTTGAAGTTTCTGGACGATTCTGCATTTTATGGTATATTCTTCTCCATTCTCTTTTTTTCCTTTCTTTTTTTTCAGATCATCGTATGCTACTAGAAAAATGAGAAAAGAATTTGAAGAACTTGGTAACAGACACAACAGTTTGAAATAAATTCCAATTAGCTTTAATTACGAAATTATGTTGACAGTTTTTCCAGGAAAGCGTACGCAGGCCACAAATACCATAATACAGATGGCAGCTCAATAAGCGACCAAACAAATCGATGTACAGGGAATTTTTATGGAAAAACCGAATTTGTTTTCACTTTTCATTATCGATTGTAGTCGAACAAAAATCCATAATCGGATAAGGCAAGTGAAACTCATAGTCAAAGAGCGATGGAGAAAGGGGCCAGAACAAAAAGGGAAATAAACAATAAAACGGAAAAGCTTTTTTGGAATTCAGATCACACATTTTTATGGGCAACCGGCGGAAAAGAACGAGCAAATGCGAATGAATTTTCACACAGATCAAGTGTAAGCCAAAGTGACACAAACGCCGATGGAAATGAACGAAGCGGATGAATGAGAACGAGAACGGGAGTCGAAAAGGGGAGGAGAAAAACGTATGGGGTCAAATAATAGAAGAGATCATGTCTAGGATAAAGGTCATACCATCGTCTGGAACAAGTCGGCTAAGTACTATACAACGGCATCAAGTGCTCATTTTATTTTCACCTAAAAGCCATTCAATTAGACATTGGCATGAAAGAGATGGTCGAAAGAGATTTTCGAACGATTTTCATTTCGCTTTCTTTTGCCAAAATGAAACCACTTTTCATCTGTGCAAACATACGAAGCGCGCCGTATATGCTGGGCTTTTGTCCAAAGCTTCCTCATCACTTGATTCATATTCTCTTTTTTCTTTCTCAGTCATACACCAGCCGGTCCATCGTGTCGTACCTCTCCCATAATCACCATCTTGAAACGATCAACGCTGTAGTGTGTACACACTGTACTTTCTCGTTTAGCACCCCATTTCTCTTTTTTTCTCTCTCTCTCTCTCTCTCTCTCTTTCTTCCGTACACACATATATCGAAACCCAAATCTATGAGCATGTAAAAATATATGTAACACTTATTAGTATTGAGACGAACTTGAAGTACTGGCAAAAGTAAAATGTGAATGAGTACAAGATCTGAATATAAATTACGTTTAATGTTTATTTATTTTATGGAATAGCACATCAGAAAACGGTGAAATTGTGCCAGAATGTGTATGGCGAATTGCATGGACGATGAGAGTTGACAAGAGACGGAGCGACATTGCGAAAGAGTGAAAGAATAAAATGTGTGTGTGTGTGTGTTGCGATATAACCGAAATTAAAGTGTGTATATTGACATGAGCGAATGAATGTTAAGGATTTTTTTCTCATTCGATCGTATGCTTCCATTTCTCAGTTGGAACTCGTGATTTGGCAGGCGTCGTGTGGCTCTTGTAACTTTATTACTAGATGTATTTTATTGACACAACATATGTAATTGTGTACCTCGTTCATTTCAAACAATGTCGGAGCTATATTTATTTTTATTCATTTGAACAAATATGAATGCTTTTTTCGACTCTCGCTCTCTCTCCCTTCCGCTCTCGCTTCGTGGTCGGTTTTTGCAAGTGGATCAAATGAAGATAGCATTGAGTATGGCTAAAAAAAATGGCTAAATTATGTCATCAGCTTGTCTGTTCATCGGAGACTTTTTCTCTCTCTTCATTCGACGTGCTATATTCAAGTGCTCATCCGTTTTGGTGTTTCGATTCCAAATTCCTACATTTTAAACGTGTGTATTTAACAAAATATATACGTACACATTACATCGCTTGTTGTACATGCAAATGCATTGGATGTATTCGCAATTTTTTTTCGCCCGATTGTGTGAATTTGAACACGGTTACGAGACGACCAACAGAGAGAAAAAAAAACTAAGATAAAAACTTGGATTGTTCACTTTTATTGCAATCTGTATTGTTTGGTGTTGACAGAGGTAGAACGCAAACAAAATGTGGCATGAAAATATTTTAATTAAATTGTGGACGCAGTCGGGGAAAAAAGGCAGAGATATGTATATGTTTATGTATATGCACACAAACCAGCCAGCCAGCCAGTCAACCAAAGAATCAACAAACCAAACAAAATATTCCACATGGATGATGTCATTTACGTGCCGAACGGTTATTTTAAACATTGTGTCCGAGCTGAAAACGGTGAGAACAACGACACAAAGAGACATAGAGAAAGAAAGGGAAAAAATAGGAACCGAACGAGTGCCACACACACACACACACACACACACACACACACACACCATAAGAAACAGGGGCACAACGCGATTATATCACATTACCGTTCGGTGTTCGTACATGTGTTCCAAATTGCCGATACTTTCGTGCCATGGATCTAAATTTCCGAATAATATGCACTTCATTATTTAAAAGTGTTGTGTATGCTTCGTGCTGCTATGCTGCTAACGATTTTGCTTCCTTTCATCGAGCTGCTCGTTTTTTTTTATGTGTGAGACAAACACACACACACACACATACGCATCGCTTTAACACCAACTCAAACTCCCACTCAAACACACACCCTCACTCTCACTCTTTTTCTCTCTACCCGTGTGCAAATAAAATGACTAACAGTCACTCAGTTGTATGTAACTGTATGTAGTGATACACAACTAAAACTGGCTAAGTTGATTGAAATCATGCGTTTTGTATGGAAACAATCACGTTTAGTTATTCTTTCAGTCAGCCGACTAATTTGGGACATTTTGACTAAGATTGATTTGTGATTGAAGTTAACTGTAGTTGCTTATTTTGTTCGAGACAATCACTTTTAGTCATTCAAAATGTCCCAAATTAATCGAAAAATTTTCCACACGGGATAGCTCTATCGCACTCTCGAAATTGCGTAACATTTTCTTTTGGAATAACAAAAGCAGAGATTTTATCACCGAAATTATTATTATTTGCTAAATTAAATAAGTGCGAAAAATGTCGTCACGTTTTGATGTATGGCAGTCATATTGAAGCCGAGATTAAAGATAAAGCGTTTTTCGGGCAGGCCCCTTGAAAGAGTGTTGGCTTTTCACTGTGCCCACGATCATCGTTTCATCTAATTTCAAAAAAAGGGGATTTAAGTGAAAGGTTCACCGCTTCCATTTTTTTTCCTTCTCTCTTTGTCTCGCTCGCTCCATCCGAGAACATATTCAATTCTAACAGTATTTAATGGTTGCCATGTTAACACCCTACTTCGATAAATGACCCACCAACTGTGTATTTGCCACTCACTTTCATTCGTATCCCATTTTGTCGGTGACACTGTGGCAAATGCAAATTTTGGCTGCCCCTCTCGATTCGACACCAACACCCACGCACATACACAAGGAAAAAAACGGAAAAGAGTAACTAATTGGCGATTGTTATCTACAATGAACTCGTTGTATGACTTTTGCATTAAGATGCTCTTCATAATAATAATATTAACTTTATGCTGTTACTGCTTTACCATTTTCGCTCTTCTAAAATCCCAATAATTACACGAAATCGCCTCTTTACTCAGTTCCACCCCACCTCCACGATAGTCTGAGTACCCGAACAATGAAGAAAAAGCCACTGATTGTTTTCGGAATTGGAAATAAGATCCGAAAAGACAAATTGAATAAGATGGGTTACTCGATAAAATGGCGAAAACGAGATTCAACCAAAATAACCGAAGAAGCAAAAACGAAAACGAAGATGTGGCAAATGTTTTTATTACTTTTACCGAACGGTCCGAACAGCAATGAGTCAATGGAAACCCGTAAACTTGAGAAAATACTCAAATATAATCAAAAGCAGTGACAATGATAACGGGCAAAGCAATGATGAAAAAATGAAGAAGCTAAAGCCGAAAAAAAAGATTTAGCCTCTAATACATGCATACAGCACGCTGCCATTTCGGCTGAAAGTGCCAAATAGAATGAGAAAAAAAAGTCAAGTGATCTACCCTCTAAGCGGAATTTAACTCAGCTTTCCTGAAAGTAATTTGGCTCGACATATTTTTTTGCTATTAAACATTCTTCTGGTATATGGGCGAAACGGGCGCCCATCACTTGTTTATATTTATTTGTTGGAAATGACAACCTAAATAAATATCACATAAAATTTACAAAGCAAAGCAGAGTAAAAATTATTATTAATTTCAAGTTTCATCCCGTCCGTTCGTACGCTGGCTCGTTCCATGTTGTACATCACGCGTTTAAGTTAAACCAAATCATTTTATTTCGTTTTTTTCTCCGTTAATTTGGTTTGCTGGTCCCATCCAAAATCTTCGGTGTGAATACTTTGAACTGCTAGTCGACTACTCGCGAGTACACGCCACTAACACCACTTTTGAAGTGATTTCGAAGAAGAGCGAATATAGGGCGAGAAGAAACTCAAGCAGACTATGCAAAAATTCCAGCAGCGAAGCGCAAAATGCAATGAGGGCTCTTTTTTATCACAATACATCGTGATAAGAGTGGAGAAGGAAACAAGCGGCTCCCTTAATGAGAACATTTTCGATGGAAATAAATTTTCCTCACACAATTCTCATTTTGCTGCGTGAATTTCACAATTTTATATGAGTAAGCGATTTTCGGTGTGATGCTCGAAAATTCGCCTTTCATTTCGCTCCATTCTCATTTACCAACTGAGCGAAGGAGATAGAGAGAGAGTGAGAGCTGCGATTGCTGTGTGTTCGCAACACAAAAGGCATAGAAAGAGTGGGATCGAGTG